GTCATTTTTTAAAGCTTTCTACCAGTGCGTACAAAACTCAGTGTCCTGATTATGTTGGCAAGTCAACCGAAGTACAAAGAGGGCTGCAGTTGGGGACAGAGGGGGAGTGATCCTAAACATTTTTTTAAACATCCTAACTTAAAAGAGCAGTAGACAACGTCTAACAAAACAGTAATTTTCAGACTCCTTTCAACCACTGCAAATGAGGAAAAACCAGAGTTAAAACGCTGCATAACATTAAAACAACAACAACAACAACAACAACAACAACATTCTGACATTATAGGAACATCCAAAAAATTACACAGGCATCAGTCCATCTAAAGCCAACTCGCACAGACGTGCAACAGCGAGCTCTCAACCTGCATTTTAAAAGACCTCCAGGATTAAGAGACGTTAATTATCTTATTCTAAATGCAAGTTAGTGACTTTGGTTTTAGAAGACCCCATCTAGTTCACTAATTGATGGATGACCATTAATACACCTGTATTTGCATTTCCGCGGTAAAAAGACAAGCAGGGCTTTTTTTTTTTTTTCAACACAGAAGAGAAGCACTTTGCCAAGTCTTTTCAAAACGTCAATATGCTTCCATTAATACCAAAGCCGAGAGATTCCTCTTGATTTCCAAAACTGTCTAGGTGGCCTGGGTGGTTTTCTGCCGGCAGCAGCCTCCTACCTTTAGTTTGTGTGCCTATATCCACGAGGGGGGATTAATTAGCCGGGTTGGAGCTGAAGGAGGCTGTCGTGACGAGCCCAGTGGCGATTGGCCGCCAGCCTGCCTGGCCCTGCCTTTATAATTTCCACACGAGTGCATCTGGGCTCTTAGACAAACCAACAGCAGCTTCTTCTGACACAGACACACGCACACTCACCCCCGACACACACTCCGCACACTTTTCCTCCGTCTGATTAACAGTCCGGCAGACACGATGATTGCGGGAAGGCGTCAATAAATACGGAGAGGGCCGGTTATTTTGGCTACGGGAGGAGCTTTGCTGGGTCTCGGCGCAACTTTTGTTTTCACTACTGAGAAGGTGATCTCTCCTTGCGTTTCTCTCGCACAAGGATCCTTTAAAGGAGGAAGAAAGACCGAGAGAGGGGGGTGGGGGGAGAGCAGGCTTTCACTTTCAGGCCGTCCGGGCTCAAAGATAAAAGGAAGGGGGGAGAGCAGCGGGCTGGGAGTCCAGCGCGGCAGCACGTCGGAGAGCGTTTGGGTGCGTTTCTGAGCGCGGCGGCCCGTTTCTCCACCGAAGTTGGCTCCAGCTCTAGCAGCCGCATTGGATCCCACAGCTTACTGCGAGACTCCGGTGTACAATCCGGATCTCTGCCCCAACATGATCGCGGCCCAGGCCAAACTGGTGTACCATCTGAATAAATACTACAACGAGAAGTGCCAGGCCAGGAAGGCTGCCATCGCCAAGACGATCCGCGAAGTCTGCAAAGTCGTTTCCGACGTCCTGAAAGAAGTGGAGGTCCAGGAGCCCCGCTTCATCAGCTCTCTCAACGAGATGGACAATCGCTACGAGGGCCTCGAGGTCATCTCCCCCACCGAGTTTGAGGTGGTGCTTTACCTGAACCAGATGGGGGTGTTCAACTTTGTGGACGACGGCTCGCTGCCCGGCTGCGCGGTGCTGAAGCTGAGCGACGGGCGCAAGAGGAGCATGTCCCTCTGGGTGGAATTCATCACCGCCTCCGGCTACCTCTCGGCGCGCAAGATCCGGTCCAGGTTCCAGACGCTGGTGGCCCAGGCGGTGGACAAATGCAGCTACAGGGACGTGGTGAAAATGGTGGCGGACACCAGCGAAGTGAAACTGCGAATCCGAGATAGGTACGTGGTGCAGATCACCCCGGCCTTTAAGTGCACCGGCATCTGGCCCAGGAGTGCTGCCCACTGGCCGCTTCCCCACATCCCCTGGCCGGGACCCAACCGGGTGGCGGAGGTCAAAGCGGAAGGGTTCAATCTCCTGTCCAAGGAGTGCCACTCCCTGGCCGGCAAACAGAGCTCGGCCGAGAGCGACGCCTGGGTGCTGCAGTTCGCGGAAGCGGAGAACAGACTGCAGATGGGGGGCTGCAGGAAGAAATGCCTCTCCATCCTCAAAACCTTGCGGGATCGGCACCTCGAACTGCCCGGCCAGCCCCTCAACAATTACCACATGAAGACTCTGGTTTCCTACGAGTGTGAAAAGCATCCCCGGGAGTCGGACTGGGACGAGTCCTGCCTGGGTGATCGGCTTAACGGGATTTTGCTGCAACTTATCTCCTGCCTGCAGTGCCGGCGGTGTCCTCACTACTTCCTCCCGAACTTAGATCTGTTCCAAGGCAAACCTCATTCGGCTCTGGAGAACGCTGCCAAACAAACGTGGCGACTGGCGAGAGAGATCCTGACCAACCCGAAAAGTTTGGAGAAACTTTAGAGGACCGTTTCGTCAAGAGCCGAAATGTGATTGCTCTTCTCAAAGACCTACTTCGGTGTAAACTTCCTGGTCGATTCCTATCTAATATTCCACTTGTCAGTGCAAACAATCTCTTCCTTAAAAAGGAATAACAGTACAATGTTTAGGCATCATCTCACCCACCCCTCCAAGGGGAGAAGAAGAAGGGAAAGCGGATAGAGAAAAACGCAAACCCACAAGTATTAGAAGACTTCTTTTACAAAGGATTTCTTATCGCCCTCGAAAAGTACACAGTAACACCCGGAAAGCAACCCGGCTGTAATGCAAGACCACAGAGAACACTCTGCCCAGCTATCAAAGGATTATAGCAATCCTGGTGATTTAGGTGCATCTGTCTGTGAGTAAACACCATTTGGATATGCCATCTGAAGGAAAGTGTAATGTATATTTTGGTTTGTAACAAATATTGTGATCTCACATTGTCTTTGAACGTGTGGATGTTGGTGTCTTGTGATTTGGTGAACAGAAGTTAAATTGCCGTTTTGGATACTTCCAGACATTTTCCGCTAACAAAGAGACCATTTAAAGGTAGATTTCCTCCCGGTACTTTTATCTGTCTTTGAAAGTGTCTGAACTTTAAAAAAGTTTACATTTTGTTTCAAATATAATGCTTGTTCTATTTCTAACATTCCATAAATATACTTGAAATGTTATTTAAATATATTCAAAGAAATTTGAATTCAGCTTATATAATAACGCTTGAATATCTGAATTATATATTTGAAAATGCACTTGAAATACACTGGATAACTACTTTTGTGACTTAGATTTTAATTTCTGTTGCTGGTTTTTATTTAATTAGAAGCTAATAAATGAAGTAAATAAAAGTTGTTGTGTCTCACTTTAAATTGTTTTTCTATCAAAAGATGTAACGCTTCATTTTGGAAACTGAACCCACCTGAGTATCTTAAACATTTTGAGGAGTGTGCTAATGGAATTATTAAAAATAAAACCTTAAAATACCGGAGAAAACTCTTTGTACGGCTACAGAAGCTAATGATCTACTTATAAGACTATTTCTTTCTATGACAGACAGATTTAAATCTACCCTTGAAAGTCTGCTCTTCTGGACTAGGTTCTGTAGCATTTCTGAAAATATAAGGAAAAAAATATGTCATGACAGCAAAGACTGTGGAGTTAAAAATCTGACTCAGAGAAAGTGAACTCAAAGTCACAATGAAAGTTTCAAAATTTGTATATGAAAACTAACTATGCTAATAAAATAAAGATTATTTCTGACCACTTTATGTCAAATCTTATTTTATGCAGTTAGTGTTCCATTAGCTGAATAAGTTAATCAGAAACCCAAAATTTATTTTTCCTTTGTAGGGCAAGCTAATGATAAAAGCATAAAGACAAACTTTAAATTATTTAAAAATCAAATACACTACATTTCAGCTCATTTTAAACATTCCATCCTTTGGGAGCCAGAAGTGTAAGAAGTCCTTTGACTGTCCTTCCAAGTATTTTAATAGTCAACAAGTGCTGAGAGCTAACCACCTACAGGCCCTAAGGTAGGCAGTTAATTCAGGTGAGGGTAGATTTTGGAGTTTCAGTTCCTCTTCTACAAATCGTGTTTTATAATACTTTATTTCTATACAAAAATTAAATACAAATAATAAAGTTCTGAATCTGTGGGAGCATTTGTCTTTGACTATTTTAGAATAATTGTTTCTGATAAAGCTTGCAAAGGAAGATCTTTTGTATACTGATGCTTGGATATCTAGCAGGACACTTGAATTCTTAACCTCAGAAAAGTTTACAAACTGCAGGGTAACATAAAAGTTAAAACAACAATCACATTGATTTGAAAAGAAAGTGCAGAGGTGTAGAGCTGTCCCAACATCAGGTTTTAAAATCTGCACAATAAGATATACTAAATAAATATTTATGCATTTCAAATTGTCCAAATATGTATCTTCTGGCATTACACCCACAGAAGAACACAAACTTTAAACATCTGATTGCTAGTATATATGACCTATACACTTGAAATCGATGCTTCTTAGAGAATTAGTTTCTCCTGCTCTTAAATTCACATGTAAAGCGCATTCTTATTTCAGGAGATGAAAAATGGATGTAATAATGGAGATGAATTTATATTTAAATGCCACCTCGCCCCCCCCCCCAGTTTCCTTATAACCTTTTAATGAATAATAATTCACATTTCAATGTACACGTCTGGAAATTAAAAGTGATCTTAAGGTATTTCAGAAAAACCTTCCCAGTCTTCCCAAAGAGCTTGGGATGCTGTACCCCAGAGACTTTGAACAATTGGCTTAACTATCAAATCTACCCAAGTGCAGACAAAGGCTCTCATGTAGAAAGTATTAAAATGAGCATGCTCTGGTAACACGGGATTTAAAATCATTAATATATTCTTCAGTCCCATAAAATAGAGCATGTGTTATTTCATTCATTTTATTTCCTATGACAAAGATGGAAACATGCTCCCCTCCCCCACTGTCATTTAAAACCAAGCAAAATTGAAAACCACTTCCTGCCACAAAGCCACCAGGACTGTTTACAGAATCACTCTAACTCACTTTCGTGTCGATCTTCTTGAAGGCAGGATCATCCTCATCTACCTCGAAGTAGATTTCTGTCGTGGTGATGGAGAGAGTCCCCTTGGCCACCACCACAGGAGCGATGAGCTGGGCTGGGGTACTGAGAACCACTGGGCCTGAAAGACAAGGGCACCGGCGTCAGGCTGAATCCCTGTGGCCCTCTCCCGCTCCCTCCCGAAGGGTGCCGCAGGTCTTTATTTTTAAAGATGTACTAAGAAAATGGTGCCTGTGGTCATGCGGCCAGCTCCTCTCGTGTGAGATAAGGTCTGCTTAGCTTTTGCACATTATCTTATAACGAGAGTAGAGATACAGAATCCTATAAAGCCCCAAGAGGTCAGAATACCGAATAAGTGACCCTTAGCAAGAGAGTTGGTAACCTCCGCCTAGAAATCCCACAAATGCCCCGATTCTCCGTGGGGCACCACCGGCTTTGGGAGACCCTAGGCAGTCAGCACTGCCCCCAAAGGCCAGCCATCCGGGAAAGCCCGCTCCATTGGGCAGCGGAGTTCCCCAAGGATGGGCGGGAGGGTGTGAAGGGGTACAGGATCTGGATGTATGAATTCCACTGTACTAACTAACGGGTTTGCAACTTGCATGAAGATTCACATCGGCGTCCTAAGCCGCGCCACATACGCACGTACACACACACACACACACACACACACACAC